GACTCAGAGGAGGAGGGTTAAGAGTCCGGCTCCAGAGAGGAGCTCCTGAAGGAGCACTGGTGCAGGACAGGAGGGACGGACAGGACCTTTGGACAGGTCTCTGAAGACAGGCTGGACCGCGGTCCATGTAGGTCAGTCCACCTACAGGGACTGACCCACAGGAGGAGGTGTTGGACGACCTTTACAGACTACGTTAACAGAAAACACAACAGTCGTGATCAGTAAATAATTTAACTTCATTTTCCAAACGTGTCGTTGTCGTTGTGAGACTTCAGTGTCAGAGCGGAGGCTCCAGTACAGCCATACCTCACAACGTCTGTTAGTCAGACGCTGATGGACCTGGTGTCCTCGACCCTGGACCCTCGACCTTCGACCTCACTGACGTCTGGTGGTCTTCATGCTGATGCTGATGGACCTCGACCCTCGACCTTTGACCCACGACCTTTGACCTCACTGACGTCTGGTGGTCTTCATGCCGACGCTGATCTTCAAATGTCAGCGGCTTCATTAACAAACCAAAGGAGCTCTGATCCCACCTGTCATTTAGCTGCTCCTGAAGGTCAGCAGCATTTCAACTGTATTCAGCTCCATACCTGACACACTCACACACACACTCACACACACACACACACACACACTCTCACTCACACTCACACAGTTCCACCTGACATCACTCTAATAACTGAGCGTCTGCTGTCGGTCTCTCCTCTCTGCCTTACAAACCAGGATAATATCTGAAGAAGTTTAATAAAAGAAGAAAACACACACACACACACACACAGCCCACTAACCGTCCAATAAGAGTGGGAGGACGACGTGAAGACGCACACACACACACACCTTAACTCCTGCCCCTCCCTGACCCCAGGCTCTGATTTCAAACCGTTTTAATCTGAGCTGCGTCTGTCCATCACTGTCTCCGTCACTGTCTCCATCACTGTCTCCGTCACTGTCTCCGTCACTGTCTCCCTCACTGTCTCCGTCACTATCACCGTCACTGTCTCCATCACTGTCTCCGTCACTGTCTCATCCCTGTCCCCGTCACTGTCTCCGTCACTGTCTCCAACACTGTCTCCGTCACGGTCTCCGTCACTGTCTCCGTCACTGTTTCCGTCACTGTCTCCGTCACTGTCGCCATCACTGTCTCCGTCAGTGTCTCCGTCTCTGTCACTGTCTCCGTCACTGTCTCCTTCACTGTCTCCATCACTGTCTCCGTCACTGTCTCCGTCACTGTTTCCGTCACTGTCTCCGTCACTGTCGCCATCACTGTCTCCGTCAGTGTCTCCGTCTCTGTCACTGTCTCCGTCACTGTCTCCTTCTCCTTCTTCTTCATTATGAGAGACGGTGACCTTTAACCTCACCACAACAAACCCTCATCTTCCACTTCCTCCTTCCATCGTACAATATTCAGCAGCGAAGCAGATCGTGGAAGGAAAGGGTCAAGGACTGGCTGTCATTAGCATTTAGATTCTGGACGCTCCGATATGTCTCTGAGTGGCCAGGAGGAAGAGGAGGAGGAGGAAGAAGAAAAGGAGGAGGAGGAGGAGGGGGAGGAGGAGGAGGAGGGGGAGGAGGAGGAGGGGGAGGCGGAGGAGGAGGAGGAGGGGGAGGAGGAGGAGGAGGGGGAGGAGGAGGAGGAGGAAGAGGAGGAGGAGGAGAAATAGTTGTAGAAAAGTTTTAGTTTTTGGTCTTTCTTAAAACTTCAGGAGTTTCTGATTCAGGAGGAAATCTGTTCATGATGTTCTTTAACACTGACAGAACTTTCTAGAACTTTTTCTCACCTCAAATTAACACCAAAGAAACAGGGTTAGAAAATATTTAGCAGTTAGCCATCGGATCATCCATCCATCCGTCTACCCTATCATCCATCCAATCATCCATCCAATCATCCATCCATCTACCCTATCATCCATCCGTCCGTCCATCTACCCTATCATCCATCCGTCCATCCATCTGTCCATCCAATCATCCAACCATCCATCCAGCTGGATGTTTTTTAAAGGTCAACAAGGTCAAGTCTGAGCTTCAGCTCCAGGACCGTCTTTGTTTCAGATGTGAACACCTTCCTGTGGGTGAACCTCAGTTTTACTGCACCGTGTCCCTGCTCCGTCCTCGTCCTCGTCCTCCGTCCTGACGTTTTTGTTCATTTTTCTCCTCTCCCTCTTGAACCTGTTGGTGTTTCTCCTCCTCCTCTTTTTTTCCTCTCTCTGCTCAGACAGTGAGCGACAGCCGTTTATTTTTTCCCTCCAGTCTCAGGTTGTCCAACATGAATGATCTCAGCTGCTAATCCGTCCCAGATCCTCCTGCCGTTCCGAGGCCGATACGACGCAGGACTAATTTGAAACATTGTTTCTCACTTAGCCGCGGATCTGAAGGTCGTGTCGTTGTAATACAACCGTTTCCTGCTCACGACACATGGACGTTGATGTGGAGGTCAGAGGTCGCAGATAATGGAATTCCACTGGAATACAATTAACAGATTTGTGGGATAATGTCCCAGTGATGATGGAGACGTAGTTCAGTCCACGTGGGCTACAGAGGAGGGACACATGGTCCAGTCACCTGGTTCTGATTTGGCTGCACTGACAGTCGTCTCTGTTCATGGATCGTTTTGTTTTTTATGGGGCTGTGAGCTGTGGCTCTGGAATGTGTTGGTGTGTGTGTGTGTGTGTCTGTTGATGACACACACACACACACACACACACCTGTTGTAACGATCAAGGTTCCAGACGTGTTTGTTACCAACAGTAATCACTGCTGTCCTCAAGGGGGAGCTGGAAACAGTTTCATGTTGTTTGTAAAGATCATTCGTTGGTTCAAAGGTCAACAGAGCCACGACCCAAAGTCACAGCGTCCACAAGAAAAACTGATCTGTCTGATCCACACGTCCATGTTTTAGTTTGAACATTTGACCACAGAAGAAGAGTGGGTCGTTGTTGTTGTTGTTGTCGATGTTGTTGTTGTTGTTGTCGTTGTTGTTGTTGTTGTTGTTGTTGCTGTTG